GAGCATTTATAGAAAATGTTTCTATCTTGCCACAAACCCTATAGGAAGGTCAGGATATGGGGAGGTGCAGAGCACCATTTTTGGCTGGTAATTGCATCATAGCTTTATTTCAGGTGGATGTAATTTGTCCCAATAATGACTCAATGTTTTCTACTATTGCTTGTTCAGATATACTGCCTTTTGGGGCACCAGGGGTTTGGCAAATCCAAGGCTGGAGTTATTCTTCCCTTACTTTACCAGCCAGTAGGGTAATGTTCTTAGGAGCCTGCTCGCTTTCTAGTTTCAGTTTTAGAGATAATGAAGAGACTATCCTTTACAGTTTTTAGTCTTTATGTGAAGGCATGTAAGCAAAAGATCTCTTAACCATAATAACTGAGGGTATACAGATGAAGGGCTTTATTATCCACAGTTACTATTCTCGAGGCTTTGTCCTCCAGATTCTTAATGAACTTCTGTAGGCTAGAAGGTTCAGCCTTATGTGGGATTGCTCTTACCATATGGCTGGCACCTCTTCCCCAAGTATGAAGGTCTAAGCCACCTTCCCAAAGTATTGATGGAAAAGCTGTCAAAATTGAACAGGAGGCTTGGAGAGGACTGGGGCATTTAAATCATGGGGTTTAGATTATATGTGAGCCTGAGTAGGTTTCTGTTATTGGTTCCTTAAGCTGAAAATGAAGATTGCTTGCTACCAATGAAGCAGTAAGAAGTAATGCATGTCACCACTAACCTGAATTCAATTTACATTTTAAAAAGTGTTAGAATTACTTAAAAACAATTGCTTCGGTGATTAGATAAATTTTTCTTTCTTGGTATATGTGCTGGTAGGAAGATGCACACTAGCCTTGCAGCTGGTGAGTTGTGTATGGAAGTCAACTGGAGCAGTCAAGGCAGCATAGTTTGGGTGAATTAATACACAGTTGGTATGTGTTGTGTATCTAAATTGGATCATTTTGTGCTGCACAATGGGCTTGAGCTCTGATGTTAATTTAGCTAGGAACTTTGAAGAAGACCAGTGTAGTGGTGAGGAAGCAGGTTGGAAAGAAACAGCGTTAGGAAAGGACAAAAACATGTTAACATGTTAAGCTTTTTTGACTAGAAGGATCTATTTTCTGCCTCAGCTTGCTCTTCTATAAACTGTGAAATTGAACCCATGAATTTTGGACATTGCCTTTACCTTCTTTGGAAAAAATGTATGTGAAGTTTGTTTTTAAACCTGCTTGGTGCAATTTTGGCCAGGCTGACTGGTTTTTATTAACAATTACTTAGCATTGAGGTGGAGGTTCTGCTGGGGAAGAAAATTAGGGGATTTTCTCTGTATTGATGAATCATGAGAGTGACAACTGTCACTATGGTTTTTTTCTAACTCATTTATTTTCGTACGAATTGACCTTAAATGGTACTGTGAAAACATTGTAAAGCTAGGAAATGCTGAAGTAAGGTTGCTTTATATGCCCTTAATTAATTGGCATGTGTCACTTTTTTCCATGGACATTGATCTCATTCAGTGCAGAGAATTTTTGCTTTGTCCTGGGTAGCAATTCAGTATTTTGTTTCCCCACCCTTAATTAGGTTCTCATATTTATTAGTGCAGGTTGCTCAAGTACTGTTCTAAATATATAATTTTATTCTTATGACCTTTTTCATAGTGCATTGTTTGAGGTCCTTAGTGTTTGGCATTTCTGCAGATCAAGTTTCAAAAAATCTCAAGTGGGACTTCACTGAAATTAAGATCACAATTAATTACCATCAGGAGAAAATTTGGTAAGTGATCTGACCTATGTTGCAGTAGATGGTGTGGTAGAAGGTACAGGGAAAATATGTTCAGTTCTTCAGGTCAACTACTTTAATTGTACGAAGCCACCTTTTTACTGGCCAATTTCTGCCATGTTGGTGCATTTCTCAGCATTTTCAGTAAATGGGGAAAGGTATCCTACAAATATCCTACAAACCACAGTTTTTCATTATACAGCTACACTTTGTCCATGAAGTATTGCATGAACCAAGTGAAACACATAAATCTATGTGGAAAAATATTCTATGATTGTATATTTAATGCTTGTATTGTAATGGATATAGCTGATATGACAAGGTTACACAGGTAACTTGAAGTATCTTGATTTTGAGTGCTTGACTATGCAACCATAACATTTTGAAATAGTTTGTAACATTGCAAATAGCAAGATAAAAATTGATTATATTGTTTTGGAACATGCAAAGAGAGGTGCAAGCACAAGGTTATCAACTGTTTGTACAACCTTGAAGAGGCCTAAAATCTATCCCATTATGTGTTCTTGGCAAGATGTGTATTCATTAGTAAGTCATGGTGCCCTTCCTCAGTAATTCCAGTAATTTTAACAAAAATTTGTTACAGAGGTGTTGTTATGTGAGACACTGTTTTTGTTCTTAACAACGCTTCCTAATAATCTCTTTTTGCTGCTGGTGCTTTTGATTGAAGGAAGAATGTAGTTCTGTACCTTGTGCATCTGAACACTTGGGTTTTTGAGAATGGAAGTTCTTACTCCTTTAATGAAGCCACATTTTCAGGAATGATATGCAGTACTCATTGTACTCTCTGTATGAGGTAGGCAGACAACACTTCTCCTTTGTACATTGTTAAATATGACACTTTGCCCTGAGTTCTCAGACAAAATAATTAGTTCACTTTTACTTCTAGGTTTAGGGTTTTTTTTTGTGTGTGTGTTTTTTTTGGTGTAATTTTTTGTTGTTTTGTTTTGTTTTAGCTATTTAGTGAATGACAATTACATGGAAGGGAAAATAGCTAACAATATCACATATCAAAGAAGGATGAAGGGAGAGGTGTGTTGCTGTGTCTGTCAGGTCAGACTTGATATACCTGTTACTTGGAGCATGGTGGTGGCATTAAGATGACTACTGGCACTGCAATAGCCACACCAAGTCACCATTTCCTGCATTCTGTAATGGCTTTTCAGTCCACAACATTGGGATTTTTAATGCAGCAAGCTTCATCCTGAGTTCCAATTTATTTTATGTTCAGAGTGTAGGAAATGGTAACTTGGTACAGTCCTATACCTGAAACTTGCTTAAACCTTCTACAGACAAAGTTGTGTTTCAAAATACATCTGCACCATAGTCCTGCCAAGCTATAGTAGATCTAGCTTGGGTATGGAAAGCAGAGTAACCAGTCTGCTGCCTTTGTTCCTGTACAAAACAAGTGTAGTAAAGTAGGTGATAAATACTGGTGTGTTTTGTGTGTTTGTTGGAGGTGGGGGGGAGGGCTGTCCCCACAAGGAGCTTTATTTTGTGCTTAAGAAGTTCTCATTTCAGGCTGATTGGATTATTTTGTGGAAGTGTTTGTTACCTATCAGCTCCCTGCCTTGTTCTGTTGTCAAAACTATAAGGTAGCCCTATGATCATGTAGAACATGGATAAAAAGTAAAGTAAGGTTTGAGAATGAAGGTAACTGGGCCCTTTATCTAAAGCATGTTTGTTATTTGTAGGTCAGCCACAGTATTACATGTAGTGCTGAGCACTTAGAGCTGAGGGGCAGGAGCAGCAGTGCTTTAAAGTGCTCAGTGCTAATTACCTTAAAAAAGTGATACCTAGTCTCTTGTATGAAATATATACACTTGAATTCCCCTTGTTCACACTATTTTTCCCCCTCAGTTCTAGAATGATGGAGATACTGCACACTTAACTTGGAAAGAATGTTTGAAGAATCTAGAGATTTGAGGAGCAACACAGAAAGTTTAGCAGACAGACAGTTAGTACCAAGTTTAAGTACTGTGCAGTACATGAGTGGAAGGCAAGGACTACATGAATGCAAAGGAAATTAAATACTCAGTGGCTACTTTTCCAGAGTATTGCTTGAAATAGCTTCTAAAGTGATACTTAAAATGGCTAAATAATATAATAGTATACGTATAGAAAGAGTAAATAAAACTTGCAGACACTACTAATTTTGTGTTAATTTTTACACCTTGACTTGGCAATCTTAATGTTCTAAACATTTCAGTAGGTTTAAGCACAGTATTAATATAAAACTAATACTAACTGAGCAATATACTAAACTAGCCCTTATGAAGTGCTGTGAGGTCTGTCATAGGTAGACTTGTAGTCTGTGTACATTGTTTCTTGCTTGCCAAGTGTTACCACATCACATTTGGGTAAATGTTGCCTGTGTTGCAGAGGGAAGGAGCTGACCTGCCTCAAGGTATGTAGGTAGCCATGTGTTGAGCATCCTATTGGCACAGTTCTTTCTAGAAGACGTGCATGACTTTTAGAAGTAACTAATCAAAAGCACAAGAATGTATTTGCAGAATTCAGCCACCCTCTGGCCCTAAGTGATTAGCTGAGACTTTGCAGGTCTTGACTCAGTCTTGCCTTTAATATAATCCTAGAGAACACTGCCTAATTTGGAACAAAAAGAACAAACTAAGTGTATATAAAGTGACAGTTTTGGAAAATACTTTTAAGATGGATGAGTCTTCAGATCCACTGAAATCAAACACTGCTAGAACTAGTTAACTGATCCTAAAAGTTTTTCATTGGTGCAATTTATACATTCATCAAATTAATTTTTACCACTTGAATATTTGTGGAAGTTTACTTTGGTCACAATATTACAGTAAGTAAACCACTGTGATAGAACAGGCTATCACACAAAAAAATGTTTTTTTTCTGTGTGACTCCATAAACAGTAATTCAGCAAGAAGTGAGTGGATAATTAATTCAGCAATGATGCAGTGCACCTGGGTCATCAGCAGTAGGGAATTTGAAGACAAAATATTTGAGTCATTAAGTCAAATTATAGGTGTGATATATAGATATGTATATATATATATATATATATATATATATATATATATATGAACCAAAGCTGTAAAAAGTGGTACTTTTTCAAAACATTGTGAAGGAGCACATGCAAATATATACATTAAAACATCAAAGCTAGTGAACTGATGGTTTCTTGCTGGAAGGGCCAGAAATGCAGTCCAGCAAAGTCTCCATACACTACTGAGTTTACAGTATTTTAAATTTTATTTGTACATTTGAAAATACAAACAAAAGTATCAATGAAATAGGGTGAAGCTGAGGGAAAGTACAACTTATGTCCATAAATCTAAAACATTCAGGTGCATTTATTGCCACTAATCACAAAGTACAGTCCTATTTTCAACTTGTACCCAGTGGTACGTTAGGTCAAGTTGCTCTAATATCTGGGGCTGTGCACTTTACAAAGAAATTGCTGAAAGGAGTGATATGTGGTAAACATAAATTGAAAGAGTAGATCACTGTGGGTATTCTCATTTTTAAAATGAAAATGTCCTTCAAGAAATCTATCTTCAAACAGCAGTCAGAGGACCAGGCTGTGGTATGCAGTTCTTCCTGTGACTTTGGATGCCCATGTTTTCACAGATGACAGTGAATCTGCTTTGGCTTCTTGTGTTAAACTTTCCTGATAAAAGTGACATGGGGTTGAACTCTATGAAATGCATTTCTTACCACTCTGTAGGTGCTCTTGAAGAGTGTTTCCCATAACTTTGGATTTTCTTCTTTTAATACTTTGTCCATGTCTCAGTATGTTGAAAGAAATGATTAAAGGGGTCTTCATTTCAGCAGCTGAGTTTGATTAAGAAACTCTTACAATATATTTCAGTTTTGTTGAGTCTTTTGTGTTGTTGTGGCTGTCAATTAGAACCAGGGAGGTGCGCTGATGATTCTCTACTATTTCAGCAACACTGTCGAAGCGCTGGGTAAAGAAAACAAAAAATAACTAATGCTGGCTTCCTTTAATGCTATAATATCAACAGTAATCACTTCATCTTTTTATCTTTGCTTCTCAAGTAACTGAATAGAGTTAAGCTACTTGTTACCAAGTTAGATGCTTTGCCTTTTTGTGAGATACTGATCCTTCTTTTAGTTCTTATTTTAGTCATAAACAGATTAGATTTAGACAACAGAAGATATTACAGGTACCAGCTGTCTCCTCCTTTCCATTTATGATTGCCACCTGCACAAGCTGAACCACCGAGTTTGCTGTGGGCCATAGTGAACTGACATTTCATTTTACCTTAATGTATAGTAGGCTGCAGACTGGCTGCACAGGAGCTGTGGCTGATGTAGTTCAGCCACCTCAGAGGGAAGACTGTGTCCAGGAATAACAGGTACAGGCAGCCATCTATGAGAACTGTTCTAGTTATGCAGTTTCAATGTTTGTCACTGTAAATTAGTATCCAGAATCTGCTAGGTCTGTTGCTTTCCCTATGGACTTTGGCCAAATAAAGACTTTGGACTATCTGTTTATCCTGAGGTCATCTTTCATCCTTTTTTGAAGACCAGGTGAGCTCCAGGCTATTATATTTTCTCTAATCTCAGAACTGGTGCTTGGGAGGCAGATAAATTAGGCTATGTCAAGCCTACTTTCACATTGCTGAAAAGCCTATTCTATGCAGTGATAACTGTTTTCATTGGTATTTGTGTTCCAAGTTTCTGTTTCTATTTTGCTATCAGAGTAATTATCTCTGTGGTAGAGTAGATAATCAGTGATCTTTTCACTCCAGAGTTCAAGTTTAATATTTTCTTTATGCGAAAACAGTATTAACAGTAATGTCATTCTCATTTTTTATAGTGTTGGTGGGTTTTGTTTTTTGAGCATGGCTGTTCTTCCTTTGCAATTTTGCAAGAAACATAACCAGAGTTTTAGATAGAAGGTAAATGGAGGACTATAAACAGTCAGAAAATTTATCTAGTGGTTGCAGCTCTTATCCTTTTAATTTTATTTAAACATCTCTATGAGTATGTTTTAAATTTGATCTGTGGTTTTAGTTACAGTGTACAGGAGCTGTTACAACACTGGTCATTATAAAGGGTATATTTTTATCTTCCTATATGAAGGATCTTTGTGGTCATAATGCAATATATCTTAGTCCTTGCTTATTAAAGGTATATAATTGAAAACTGTTAGGAAAAATACCCCCAGTATAATCTTACCTCTTCACCACTTTTTTCTCTGCCCAGTGCATATTGCCTTGTTGATTCAATAAATCGTATAGGGATGTTGTACACTCTTCTGTTGTAAAATACAACCAGTGTATATGGTTGCTGTGAGTCCTGTCCAGAACTCTTCCTTATTAGAAAAGATCCATCCTAAAGAGAGAAGAGTAGTCAGTGTATTTGGCTCATTTCATTCCAACAACTTAGTCTGGTTTTGGCTTAATATTTTGATTTATATTAGCATTAAACTCTTTTCTCCCATTAGAAAAATAATGGCAGTGGATGAGAAGTAGTATGTATTCCTGCTAACAGCAGCTTGCAAAATGTAATTTAAGAATCACCTTTGCTGCTGCCTGATCTCTTTCTCAACCAGACAGAAAATTAAGAAATAAACAGGCATCTGTGGGGGTTCACAGATTGTTAGGGAATAGTTCCTGTCAGTGGCAGTAGGTAGGGAAGAAAGCAGGGAGAGGGGGAGAGACCTTTTCTCCAGAGCTGTAAGAAGGAGCTCACCACAGTCAAGCACCTGCACACTCCTGACCCTGTAGCTCTGTGCTCCCTAACTCACAGTAGCCTTCACCTGGTGATAGCCCGCTCCCATGATCTGCCCCTATACCCTTCTCTATGGACTTAGGCAAGAGTGGAAAGGTGATGCTGAGGATGCAACTCTACATGCTCCTCTTCCCACCTGTGACACTAGATTTTGTACAAAGAATAGTTAAGAGAATTCAAATTCTCCAAATACCTAAATGCACAGTGTTGCTATTTCAAAATGCACAGCAATGCCAGCCTTTCCAAATAGCTGTTGTCACATGAGCCATGGAGCAGTGGAGACCACTTAAAAGCCCCTGGGCTTTGTGTTTTTTTAAGGGGGCGTGCATGAGCTATAAGATCTTCTTCAGCTCTCTAGTCTCTAATAGCTTTCTCTGCAGTGCTTTGGTCTTTGAGTTGCACTAATGCAACTCAATTGTGTTGTAATGCAACACAATTAACTGATGTCACCACAATAATTCCAGGTGTGACAGTACTTGCATGGCACAGTAGTTCTGATCTTTTCAGAAAGCAACCTATGTTCTTTGAATACTTCTGGTTGTCTTTTGAATTTTTTTTTTTAAATTTGAAGTTTTCCCAGTAAAATAGACATTCTCTAAAAGTGACCTACCTTGTTTGATCGGTACAATGCATCTTCTGCCATTTTCCTATCACAGGTAGCGGCATACCATGCTTTACTGTGAACACCAGCATCCTAAAAAGAGAAGAACAGTGTTTCACCTGTAAAATAATAATGATAATAATAAAGAATATGGCCTGTAGAGGAGTTACTGCTAAATAGTGACAGCTATGAAGAACTAAAATGCAGAAAACACAGAGTTTAAAAAAGTCTTTGCCAGGAGTTCAGTGCTAACAGATTTGTGATAAAAGGCTGATAAATGACAAAAGAGAGATGCCCTGAGGAAAGCAGTCAGCTTTAACTGTAGGATCATTCTAAAGACAGAAGTTATTCCAGTAGAAATTAAAGAGGAATAAATGTCAAGGAATGTTGAGGAATAACGCTATTTATGAATACAATCATGATTGTCTCCACATGGACAGCATGATGGTTGGATAAGTTTTGCTCCAGCTTTACAGTAACAAGCTTAATCATAAAATTAATTTTCACACAAGCTTTGTCACCTCTGTACAAAACAGATTAAAGGTTGCACATTATAACTGAGCTGGTCTAGCTGACTTACTGCTGCCAGAAAGGGAATGTCTTGGCTTCTCCTTTGTGCTCATTTTGTTGCTCTTCTGTTCCCATGGTGAGATAATTCACTTTATTAAACTTGCAGGAAAAAAAACCCAAAAAACTTTCCTTTTTTGTTTTGCCATTTTTTGTGTTTGACTGCCAAGCTGATTTTCTGTCAGTTTAATGACTTGGCTCAAGCCACTGCAGGATCAGGAAGGAACACCATAGAAGCTGGGAGGGGAGCTTACAGTGAGGAGAGAGCAGATACTCAATTTTGGGGGCATTGCACTAAATTATTAGTTATGGCTCAAGCCATAACATTAAATTTTACCTTCAGAAATTTTAATGTATTTCTTCAATCACACAATTCAGTGGAAGAAGAAAGGCTGAGAGGAACTGCATATATGAAAGGTACTTGCCCACACAGACATGGAGCCCAGTGAACAAATCTTTGTTCAACAAAAGAAGGACTCAATGGCCCCCAGAGCTTTCTTCTACCACTATCTGTGGCCTATAACGTAGAAGCAGAGAGCTGCTGCCAAAGTTTGTATGGGAACAGAGCAAAGAGTGAATGTCATGGGAATGAATGACATCTGTGAGCACCTGTATTGTGCAGGATGCTACAGCAAATGATACCACTGCATATAATTGCTGGGAAAATAACACTAACAGCTAAATTTTTTTAAACAAAATTAATCTTTTATTAAGTCCTGTTTCTTGTTTCTGCCCACGGCTGTTACATAAAAACTGCAAATGTAATTGCTACAAGCTGTTTATGTAGAGTCTTCTGGATTGCTTATTTAAAAGTAATTTTAATAATAAGTATCTATTATTACCTACAGTTAAAATTTTTCCAGAACTTCAAATCCTTTGTGTTCTTCACTGTTGTATTATCTTTATCATGTCAGACTTTAGAACACTTACTGTTACTGGCTCTGCATGATAGAGCCTTTGTTTTACACTCAACAGAACTATTTTTACCTTGTTTGTGACTACTAGACTTATAAGAATGGCTTTTTGCATTTTGTAGTCTTCCTTCATCCGAAATGAGAGTCAGGGGAATAGCATGAAATGAAAATTACCTTGCATTTGCTTAGATCATTCAAAGCTTAATGTTGCAACAAAACATAAAAAAAAGAATTGACCATAAAACTGACAGTATTAACTGTAATGTGAAGAGATCTGTTTAAAGGAACAGAAAGGAGCTGGACTTGGGAGAGACTAAAACACGTAGGGGAGGCATCACAGCATCATGGTATTTGTTTACTGCACCTTTTTTCTCCTGTACACAATTTGTACAGCTATAAGTTAGAAAAAAAGAGGTGATTAAAAACTCTTTATAGCAATCTATATCAAATACTAAAGTACATCACCACAGATTTCCTTGTTTCAATGATGTTGAAAGTATGAATTGGAGAGCCAGGAAGACATGAAACTAAAGCTTTTTATGATTGGTAGAGTGCCAAGATTTAATATAATGCTATTTACATATTTTTCTACAGTTTGTTAAACCTCTCCTTTGCTATGTGTTCTAGGCATGTTTTAATGAAAGCTAACATTCAGATTATTTGTGCTACAGAAAAGCCTCATTGCAAAAGGGGGTATAGAAGCCCTCCAGGAGTGTAATTTTCTATTGAAAGGGGACAGGGGTGGAAATACTATTTTAAAAACAAGGGTAAGGAGATTTCTGTAATATGAATGTAACTAATATTGTACCTCATCTGCAGAACTTGAAATGGATGAAGTGCTGCTGGGAGGGGAAGCACCCAAAGAACGGTTTGCAGCTTCTGGCACTTCTAGAAAAGAGAAAACAACATGTATAAATTTTCAAAGTATGTTTGTTATGATGTAGTAAGCTGAGTTGTTACAAGGACTTTGGAAGATCTGAAAACACTTGACCTTTGATATCAGTCAGGAAAGCTTTCTACTGGAAATGCATGGGGCCTATATAAGTGCTGGGTCACTTGCCTGCCCAAAGGGTAGCCTTGCTTGTGAAGGAAAAACCAGTTGGATAACAATTTGGTTATTAGCCAGAACTAAACTCAGAGTACAGGAAAAATCCTCTTCCTCCACCAAAGTGAATGAATGTAGCAATAGATAAGAAAATGCAGGAACTCAGTGCAAGTAATTCTCAGTCCAGTGTGAGAAACAGTCTTACAGGTGAACAAGTCAGGAAAATGAACTTATTTCAGGGATATTTTTTCACCAATTTAGACTATGTGAATTGTTTGTATACATGTGCAATAAGTCCAGGCAGTAAAATGGAGAAGCAGAATTAATAGAAAGCATTATGATGCTTAACTGGAATAACAAAGCATAGTTGAAAATAGTTACTAGGGCTGAAATACAGACGTAAGAGTTTAAGAAACCAGAAGTGAAATGTTTGAGTAGTGTTGCATAGTAATGATATGATGAAAGAAGTGTGGATTATTGCTTTCTGGTAAAAAAGAATTTGACCCAAGTGTGTAGGTGTCTGCTAGAGGTACTTGTGAACAGAGCTGGGTGCAAATCAATATATTAGAGAAGATCATTGTAGAAAATTGAGTGATACTTCTTTTGCTATTATGGGAGGCTTTTTTTCCTGTGTGCTTTACTTATTAGGGAAAACAAGTGCTACGCTTTCTGGATATGGTGCTCTGCAGACTGCATTGTTAAATCTTCACTAATAAAATTCTGGTTTAGATACTGGTTTAGAAAGCAATAAGAATGTTATAGAGATGACCATGAAGTGACCAGAATTAAAAAATGCAATTGGACTGGAGTGCTCTAAGATAGTTGCGTGAAGTGCATTTAGAACTTCTTTTGTAATAAAGATGCAACTGTCTGGAAGCTGCATCCCAAGTGGAGCAGAGACATTGTAGGGAGCAGTTCCAGCTCTCAATGAAATAATCATCTGAAGAAGGCTATTCAATATTATGTATTTTGGTTTTTTTTGTAAAATTTTGACTGATTGACTATTAAAACTGAAAGTAGAATGTATGAATAAAGCAAGAACTGCCAGAAGTCAGTCAGATTAGTGAATTAGACCTGACAAAAGGATATTAAAATAAGGAATGAAAGATGCCTTGGCTGTGTGTAAAAAAGTAAAGAGAGATGGGGCCTTATGCAATAAGGATTTCACTGATTTTAAAGATAATCCAGGTACTGAACAAATAGTAGTTCTGGCACAGAAATGGAAATTTCCACAATCAAACTGGAAGCAGAGTTTAAATAACTTTAGTACAATTGAACTGATGGGGGCAGTTCGTTGCCTATGAAATGTTTAAAACTGGCGCATGAAATTCAGGGGTGGTAACAGTTATTTTACATAATTTTCAAGACAGGATGGTACCAAATGATTAAAGAATACCAAACATAATTGCTATACCTAAAGTGGAAAAAGTGTCTTGAGCATCTACAGGGCTTTTTGTTTGATTCCACAGAACACAAAGTCCTGGGAGAAAATTTGAAGGAAGTAACATCAAGATCTGGAAGTAAAGGTACAACTAGCAAGAGAAAATCTGAATCTTGACCATGCAGATAAAATGTTACAGCTCTTTCATAGAATAACAGAGTTCCCCAAAGAGGGGATGTGGTAGTGTGGTAGTGTATTTAATCTGGACTTCAGAGGAGCATTTGACACTGTGCCATATGGGAAAAAAAGTACTTTTAATTATGAAGATAGAAGTTAGCTCTAGGCTTGTATAGGGATAAAGAAGAGATGGCAGGTTATGCTCAAGGGACATCAGTGATTATGGGACCAGTGGTATGTATTATAAAGTTGTTATTGGACCTGGCACAGAATAAGATTATGCTGAAGAAAGTTTACTAATCAGAGCACCATTCAGCACCAGCTTCAAGTTGGAGCACATCAGTTGTGCGATGGGAGCAGACAAGCTTAAGTGCATCAGTCAAGAGCATTAATGTGAACCATATATTAATGTGAACTTCCTCAGCACAGGAGTTAAAATTGCAATATGCATCAAGCAAATGTTTCCAAGAAAGAGATTCACTAATAACAGGATATCAGTTTAAGCTACACCAAATGCAGATTTCTATGTGCCATTCTCAACATCTGTTTACAATGTGAAAGATATGTTCAGACTGAATATGTACAGTAGAGGGCTTACTGGAAGGTGAGACAAGTGTCTGCTAACAAGCAACTAGAAAAATATTAAATATAATTTACACTTCTGTACAACGAGGTTTTATATACATATTGCCTAATTAGTTTTTAGCTGTGAGCTGAAACTAAGTCCATCTTGGAACTTAGAAAAGAGCTTTAGCAATTGCTATTATAAAAAAACCTTATTTTTTTCCTTCTGTTGAGAAAGAATAAATTGAATACAATAATAATCTGTCTGTCTTCTAGGCAACAGAAGCCTGGAGCAGCCCAGAAATGTCATATTTAAGATTCTTCTGTGACAAGGAAGATTGATGGAATCTTTATTATGATGGGAAATGACCCAAATTGCCTTTACAAGAGATTTCCAGTATTCATAAATATAAATGAAGTACCCATTTTCCATCAATAATCCTGAGCTACTCCCTTAATTTTACTAGCTGAGCTAAGATCTTGGATACTTGACCTCCTTTTTTGTATGCATTACAGATACATTAATTCCAAATGAATTCATATGCAAGGTATTTTGAAGTAATTTTAAATTCAAAGATTAATTTGAAATTACAAGTTAACCACATTTTAATTCAAAAACTGAATTATACTTACTTGGCAGAATTGAGGGCTTTTGGAGCAGAGGCCTGAAATAAATATCGAGAGATTACAGAATGATCTGAGGGGAGATACCCAGTCCTGATAATATTAAAATGGAAAATATGCAGTGGTAGAATGTGTTCCATCTCACCCATTTTTTTCAATGAGAAACATAGATCGGATACAGGTATTTTTCCAAAATTATATCCCACTAGTAGGAATTTAAACATATGTTTTAAATCTCCATCACCTTATTATGGATTATATCCCCTCATGCATTTTGGTGATGGTTATAGTATTTGTATGCACTCATTTGCCATGGTTTAATTTTTTGCTACTGTGAGGTACTGTGAGGTTTCAGCAATCTCAGCTCTGAAAAAGCAAGAAGGAGGCTCCAGTGAAAAGAGTGCTCCCCTTTGAGCCTCTCACAGCTGGTGCACTGCAGTATTCCAAAGAGGATGGAAAGGGATCTTACTTTTGGGCACCACTTGGAAGTGGGGGAAGTGGAAGTTCCTGGTTGGAATTGCGCTGTCGTTCTGGTGCCATAGGTTTTTCTGTAGTTTGGGAAAACAAGCAGTGAACAAGAAACAGTAAACAGAAAACAAGATTTCCTCAGAAATATATTATCCCAGATTAGGGAGTCCCAGTAGGTGAAGGAGGTTATCTTTTATTATGAATTTGGGTTTCTTCCTGACATGGCAGTTTCCATCACGCTGCTATTTTTGTTTGCTAATTCTAGGCAGTATCTGTGCTAGGGATGCCTGCGGGGCTCGGTGGGACTCTGTGACACGGGGGGAGGCGCTGGGGCAGCCCCGCAGCCAGCCTGGAGTGAGGAGCAGCTCCTGCTGGAGCCGCCTCACACAGACAGAGGCAGAGCCAGGACGGGAGGGATTCCCTGCCTGTGCCAGGGACTGCCCCTTGCCAGGAGATGGTTCTGGCTGAGTCCAGAGCCCGTCCCTCCCTTCCCCTTCTCCACTTCCACGGCTACACGGGCACACTGCTGGGCCATTACTGTGCTACATTACCCGGGCCAGGAACCTCAGCAGCTTTACTGTGACTGCTTTTAGAGAACAATGATACTCACTGCAACTCAGGCTGCCCAGATCCAGTTTGAAACTGCTAGAACCAAACACCCCCAAAAAAACTCCAGTAACTTGAATGTGGTATTGCCTTTTTTTTTTTTTTTTTTTTTTTTTTTTTTTTTTTTTTTAACTGAAAACATGAAACAAATCACATAAATGTCACCTTTTCACAGTACTGGCTATAATTTACCTTCATTTGCAGTTAAGGTCTCTCTGGAAGGTAAACACGGTTTCTGCAGTAAAAGAGAAGGACAAATAAGTATTAATTAACTGGCACTTGCATACAAATGTTTATCATTTATACTTTTTGTGAAACAGTTTAGAATTGACAACATCCTGGAAGAATTAGGAGGCAGAGACATAGCTATTCTGTGAAGAGTCTGTAGTTAGTTGTATGACCTTGAAGTATGGGATTTTGCAAAGGAGATTTGGAAAGAATCCCAGTTTGTGGGTATAAATAGATGTAGAAAAAGTCAAATTGTAGATGGTTCATTCTTATCTCAGGCCCAAAAATGAAAAGTCTATCCCAAATACTTGAAAATGAAAATCAGATTTGCACCCATACTGTACTATGCACACAAATATCTGAACTAATTTTCTTCTGTTTACTGGAAGTTAAACTGTCAGTTTAGCTCACAGTAAAACTGGAACCAATCTTCCACTTTTAATCTTTTTCTTTTTGCTTTCATTTTGAAACAATGATAATAAACTGCCAGTTTTGAAATATTTTTCAAATTAATTTCTTTGAAACATTCAAGCAGTCCTCTTACTTTCTGCCACAAGAAGTTTTGGGATATTTTTTGAATTACTGAAAAACCTCAGACAAATTCTGGTAAAATCCTGCATATTTCTTGAGCTATCACTTGCAATGAACTCATGTTCCCCATCGGCAGCCCTGTACATTCTGGGAATACTTTTGAATTTCGTATGTCCTCATTTATTTCTCATTCAGTTCATGCTCTGTGTTTGTTGTTACATCCCAGGGCATTGAATTAAAATGTTGTTTTGATCGAAATATGTTTCTGCTTGAGCAGAAAGATCACTGATCTTCATTCATGTAATAGCACCCAAATATTTCCTGTCTTTATAACTCTTTCCCCTAGCACTTTTTGCATTTATCTTGTACCAAAACCCATGATAAAATTAAGTTTTACAATAAATTAAAAATCAAATTAATTTTTTGGGTGAGTATACAATTACAAATCAACTTACTGGTGAAATTACTGCATTAGAAGTTTTCTTGCTGAAGTATGGAGGAAAAAGAAAAATAAAGAATATGTTTACTTAGCAGATACATGGATTCATTTAGCAACTAAGCATCAGTTTCATTGTTTCTAAGGGTATTTCTGTCTAATATGGAATCCATTGGATACTTGTAGCAGTTAGAAACAAAGAAGAATAAAAAAGGAAAAAGGGTATCAGATGCAATATGGGCGCTCAATAAAGATGCTTTCACAAGGAAGCTACAACTGTGTCCAATATTTAACATGACTTGGGTGGGGCAGGAGAATTTAGAGAGAGCTTTCTGCACCTCCAGGCTTGCAGGTGCTCGTGCTGCAGTATGGGGCTAAATCAGACAAGGCAGCCAGCACATGCAGCCAGTGGCAAGCAGTGAAGGGCAAGGCCACTTGGCATACGAACAGTATTCCTCCAGAAATAACAAAAAACCAGCTTGCCTTTACCTAGTCAGGATCTCTTTCATAAACAGGAATAAATATTATTCCTGAATTCACATTGCTATAGGCAAGGATAGGAGTTAGCTCCTATTATACCTATTAAACCCATCCCCATCAAAGAAGTACTTTTATAATTTTTTACTCACAGGCCCCTTGGTAACGGAGATGGAGCTGGAGCTGCTCCAGTGGGAAATCTGGATTCTTGTGTGTTATTGAACCTCTGACCTAGAGATGGAAGCAATATATTTAGTATACAATGTGAGCTGTATCTGAACAGTGGATTTTCCTCATTGCCATTTTAGTGTTAATATAATAAAGGTAAAAAATATCCATTGGTTTAATTTTTCGTAACATGTTTTCAGTCTGATTATACAAGAGAACAGTTCAGTATCACTTCTTCCTTATTGCTGACTGTACAGATAAAGTTTACACTGATGCAGTACATTGAATGCTGTATTCTGCTAACTGGTGGTATATTAGTTCCTCTCATATTGCCGTGGCTCATCTGAATACTTACTTTCATCATTATTGTTTGCTTCATGGTCCTGTAATAGAAAAATAAGTTAGATTTGATATGAAGGAATTAAAGAAGGAATTACTGTGTTCAGTTTTAAGTCCTTAGACTTAAAGAAAGACATAGAGGTGATGCAACAGAGAAGGGCAACAAAGCTGGTGAAGGGACTGAAGCACAAGTCCTGTGTGGAGTGGCTGAGGGAGCTGGGCATGCTTATCCTGGAGAAAAGGAGGCTCAGGGGGTCCTTACTGCTCTCTACAAGTACCTGAAAGGAGAGTATCGGTCTCTTCTCCCAGGTAACAAGTGACAGGACAAGAGGAAATGGCCTCATGCTGCACCAGGAGAGGTTTAGATTAGATATTAGAAAAACTTTTTTCACTGAAAGGGTGGTCAGGCATGGAATGGGCTGCCCAGGGAAGTGGTGGAATCACCATCCTTGGAAGTATTCAAAAACCATGTGGATGTGGCACTTGTGGACATGGTTTAGTGGTGAACACAGGGATACTGGATTAACAGTAGGAACTTGATCTTAGAGGTCTTTCTCAGCCTGAATGGTTCTTTGATTATTAAATGAGAACTACATGAATAATCAATATAGTTTTGGTATCTGTAGTAATTTTTAAAGAAATATTTGTACAGAAGACATATAGTGTCCAGAATACTTTCATGATGTCTGAAAAATTTTAAGCAACCATCAAAATTTTAACTTTCTAATAATCTTGAGATTGCTTGTAGTAAGTATTGAGAAAATTTGGCCTAAGTTTTGCAGTAAGATCTTTTGGTTCATGTTTAACTTCTGACCTGGAAGACAGACATTTTGCAGCAGATTTGAATATACTAAAAATATGTCTTCCACTGAATAGAGGAAATTGAGTAGACCCTCTTGTCACCAGGCTAGAATTGAAGCAATCCACCTAATAACCTGGCTTCTTTGGGAGATGCTTAATTTTGTCTCTCATTTCTTGACTTTTAGGGAATCAAGACAAGTATCTGATAAGTATCTTTCAAAGAGGAAGCTGTTATTAATTTGTCTGTCTTCATCTACCCAGCTAATGACTTTTCAGTAAAGTTAGTGACAAATGCATCCATTCTCTGGCTGGAGAGGTGTAATCCATCACCCAGCAGTTGGGGAAATGAGACATGGCAAAATTTTTCTCCCAGTCAGCTCAGCCTTTGTGAGGAATAAGGGTTACAGTTCTGTGCACAAGATCAGTGCTGGTTAGTGCTGACTGCAGACTGGATGGGAGCAGCTAACAGATGTTTCAGTTTTTGTTTGGGATTTGTCATGTACTGTAGCCAGAGATGGAAAGGAGCAACAGAGCACTGGACAAACATCATACTATGTGTTTGTTTAAATTTGTAAAGGCTGCCACTTACAAGACAAGCAAAGACCCCAAAATCTGGGCTGCACTGGGTAACTCTTTCCTAGGCTGACTCTTGTGACAAACTGGTGAGCTGCAAACACCCAGGAGCTGAATACATCCATGGTACAGATGAGTGTTTGTCTGGGAGCTTCATCTTGGAGGTGTAAGTCAGTGTGTGACTCCACCTAAAGGATAACCTCTTTTTCTTCTCTGCAAAACTAGGATGATATCAATCTCAAATGCAAGTTTAAAAATGCATTAATGGAGAGGTCCCAGCTGCAAGATGGCACCCAAGTCTGTTCTGAAGCAGGAGTATTCTTAGTGCTGATCAGATAGTGGAATTTCTGTCCAACAATCTCCCTTGAGATACAAGATTATTATTTTTCTTATCTTGTATTGGTAAGAAAGGCTGAGAAATCAAACTATTTCATTAAAGAGAAATCCCAAATTTGGCACTGTTTAGGATTTGTTCAGAATCCCACAAGATACAGATCTACATGGGAAAAACTTTGTGATGACATGGAAGGGAAACTAAAATGCTGTTATACATATGAGCTGATTGGTACATCTAGAAATTTAAAGACTGAAGACTATAAGGTGCTCATATACCACCTGCACTATTACCATAACATCTAATCCTATTATATGACCCCAAATTCCTGGTTTTAAGTATTTTAAAATATTTTAAGTCTTAATTTCTCTATATAGTTATTGGTAGACTGATTATTTCCTAGGGCCAATTCAGAGCACAGGGCTGGAACACGGTCTGAGCATGCAGCTTTTGGCATAAATGCTGACACAGTTACGTTGCTCTGTTCTGGATAGTTGGTTCCTCATGCAGAGCCTCTCAAAGTGGCACAGCTGTGAGTAGAGCTACACATGGTGTAGATCAATTTATGGAGTTAATCTGGCTGAAAAAGAATCTTTTACGATTTGCTTTTGCTCATTTCTGCAGCTGAACAAGTTTCCAAATAGTTTGCTTAAAAAAAACCCCAGCACAGTGGAAGGGACAGACAGGATAAGAGCAGAGGGAGAAGAGGACTGGCTGAAACACAGCCTTAGGACCCAAGGCTTGTAATTAGTCCTTCAAGGACTGCATTTTCTAGTGATACTGGTTACTCAGACTACCCAGTCTGACATTTTAGAAGGTTTCCATTTTCAGAAAGCATTGATCATTCACCATCTGAGGAATGAGGCTCAAGGAAAAGTGCTTCAGACTGGGCAAAATCATCCTTTGCTACTTAAAGTAAGGTTCCTGAAAAACAACTGGTATTTTTTAGTACAAGAAATTATATCCAAAAAAAATTTGAACTTTTTCTTGGATCAATACAGATGTCCAGTGCTCTTTTGCCCAAAAGATTAATAGCAACAATCACAATATTAGATGAATCTGATATTTGGTCATCTGTTTCTGTTATTTAATCCAGATAATAAATAGATAATCCATCTATTTATATATAAAACACAGGGCTAAATTTAACATGTTCTTTTAGAGTGGCCCATTAACTACTCACTGTTTTTGGATGAAGACGACTTCTGGGGAGAGGCAAAATATTTCTGAAAAATACACATTGTAAGTGATGATGAGTAGCATTTATTTATTTAATTGGATCAGATAGGCTTTTTAAGATCTAGAGGGAAGGAGGTTGGGAGTAAATGGATTTGATTTCAGCTCTGCACAGCTACAGTGCTTGTGGTGATGCTGTGCCCTTGGTGTGGAACAACTCCAAAACAGATCTTGCCCTAGCCTTTGGGTCCCCTGTGACTGCACAGGACCTCACCAAACATCCTCACACACATATTGTGGATGCCTCCTGGGGGCACATAGCATAGTTTGTAGAATAATGACCTCGAGAGGAGGCAGGGTTATGATGCAGCTTTCTATGCTTCTGGGGACACAGGAGTGAAGTAGGCTGCACACTCAAGTATCATTTTTCCCTTTTCCTCCAGAGACTTGGGATATAAACCATGGATTTGTTGAGCCCAGTTTCTTTACAATCCATCTTGTACAACTGCAAAAACATCTAATTTGCAAGGGTGCAGAGATGGCTAATAGGACCTTAAACTGGCTGGCAGAGATATTTTATCCCTGTACTGGATGCCTGAAGAGATATTTCAGAAAATCCTATTCGTATGGCAAACTGGCTTGAACACAAAAATTGACAAAGCAATGAGAACTTTTGGTTCTCACCTTGTCCTAGCATCCCTAGCTATTTGAGTGTCCTGACAATTGTTTATTGTTTGAAGTCTACACATTAGAGAGATGAAATTTTTTTTCTCTGCTAATATTTCCTGTTGATCTAAGCTGCTCTTAACTTACCTGGAAGTATCCTGCTTAGGTGAATCTCTGGCCATGCTGTGCATGTGGGAGTGCTCCGTATTCTGAGCAGGCATGAACATCAGTGGCTTGGTGAACCTAGTAATGAAACATGAATTAAGAAAGGAAAATCACATTTAACAACAGTGAATGCAAACAAAACCTCTCTTTCTTCGCCCCTACCCCCTCAAAATTCTAATAAGTAACCTTAAGAGTATTTCTTTTTAATATGTATCACTTTTGGGTTATTGAAATTAACATAGAAATGGTTGATAATATTTGTGTAGATAATCTGAAGAGATATTTACTCTAAGTATTTCTTACTTCTGTTACTGTATTTCTTCTAGAGAAAGAATTACCAGACATGTAGTATCTAGATGAGAAAAAATATTTTATGACGGTTTTAAATAATGCACAAACATTCACAGTAATGGGTTACCTGGTTACTGGTGGTGGTGATGGTTTTTCCTGTAAGAGAAAATGCACTGAATTGTTTTTTGGTCACTTTTTAGTTCCATAAAATAGATTTGTATGATCCTATTTATGTTACCACATCCAGATATTATTTTTGCATTGTGATACAGATTTCTACTAGAGCTCTCTCTGGTAATCTACATTAGGACGGGAGAGGCAAAAACTCAACATCAGTAAATCTGCTTTGGCCATATGTTATGTCAGTACCAGCAAATGAGAAAAAAATTACTGTGTCAGAACTGTCATTGCTCTTCTGCTGCACTTCTGCTTCTGTAAAACATTCCCTTAGGCCACTGCTTCCCAGATTGGATCACTATCACAGAAGACTGAGAAACTTTCCCTTTCCCATTTGCTCTTCTGAAATGGTTTGCCAGCTTTTCTGAAAAGGGAGTGTCAGAAAGCTTTAAGTGCAGGAAGAGATATGTTCATGTTTTTCCCCTTTGAAAGACTGATAATCTTTTCTCACAGTCACATTTGTACCCTGCCTGAGGCAATGGGAGTCATACTGTAGAAAGGCCTTACCTCTTCTTCAGGAACCTCGTAGACTTCTATAGGACAGAGGAAAAAAAAAAAAAAAATTCTTTAGTGTAGCAAAAACAGCCTGCAAGTTACCATTAAACCTGATCAGAATTTGTACCAGTCATACATCTGACTCTGGAAAAATAACTTGGGGAATCTGCTCAGAATTTGAATCTGCCTCCAAAACCCTGGAGCATCAACACCCCCTGTCTTCTAGTGGGAACTTCAGGGGAAGTCACAGGAATTCTGATGTACAGTCACTGTATAAATCAAGTTTCTTCCCATCGCAAAACATTTTTATTGTTTTGTTTTTCTTCTCATTCCTTCCCTCCTGAAAGCAAGATGAATGCTTGTGTTGTGCAAACCTGGGTCAGTTTGGAAAAAATGTGTTATCACACCTGTAGTAGTATTTAGCCTTTACTTGACTCAGGAAGGAAGAAATCAGGTCAGTCATAAATACAAGCTGGTTCATTTGCATGGCCAACATCCCTCCCTGAGTTCTGACCCACGAGTATACTTTAATTCATAGATCATGAAAGAAAAAAGCACCAGCATCTTTATCTATGCCCAGTTCTTCAGTGCACATAGAATCCTATTTCAGTAAATTTCATGTGAGGTTTCATCACTTTACTGCACTCAGTGCCCCAGCTCCCACCAGGGGGAGACGTTTTATTCTTTAGTAACATCTGTCAGGAGCTGGTTGTTGCTCGACACTGATTTACAGAAAGGCTGAGATTGAAAAGGGCATTTTAAAATGTCTGGAAAATAACTCATGAAATCTTAAGTAATTAATAACAAATGTTAGTTTATGACTTGTAGTTTGTGACTTTAAAGCTAAACACATTGCTAATGAATATGCAAAGCTTTTTAAAGAACTGTGTCATGTCTGGAAAGGTTACATCCAAGCAATTAATGAGAGTGAGGATGCAAAAAACCTCTAAGTTGGAAGAGAGATATTAAACAAGAATATCTGAATTTACAAAAGCAAATGGGATTCCTCTTATTTGCTTCTGTTTTTATTTCTTTTCCCAAATATACTGCTCTTTATAGAACCTCAGTGTTATAAAAGGCCATGCAATACATCAGCCTGTACAGAATTTCTATATGATAAGTCTAATGGTCTGAAGTATTGGGTCTTGATTCCTATGGTGAAATGGGATTACTGACATACTGAATCCTATAATTCTTTTTGCTGTATTGATCCATTTGTGTTCCTTCACTGGAGCAAAAGACTAAATATGAATTAATTTGGGGCAAATAACCTGTTCTAGTTTTATTCATGTGTAACATGGATTTACTGTTCAAGCTAAACAAAGCAACTGCTACAACATAGAAAAGCTAAAGGGGAACATATTTTTGTTTTACTTTAGTATGTCATAGGGTTAGTGATGTGACTACATCAGGCATAATTTAATATTTCACAGTCTTACATTATTTTATTCTATCAGCAATGCAAGCTTCACATACCTTGCATAATAGAAGGCTTTGGAGAAATAGGAGGGGCTGGCTTTGTTGTCTTCATAAATCTGTTCACAGGTGCTAAAAAGATATTTTATTCATGTACATATATATATTTGTGCATATATATATATATACATATGTTTTATATATACACACACATCTGTTTACAAACTAACAATGTAACATTTATACAATAGGAATGAATATTAAATGGGTCCAAATGACAACCTTTTGTGTGACCTTGAATAAATCAACTGAGTCAGAAAGCAGCTCTCATTTTAAAAGAGAAGTGTTGTTCAGTATTCCAGCCTTTCTGAAGAGGTTTGATACTGTCAGTAATGTCAGAGAGCAGAACTACATGCTCTTCTCTGTTTACTTTTCACCTTTGGGCTGTAGTAGTTTCATTCTCTAGCTAAATATATATAAGTGAGATTTAAAAAAATAAAATCAAAGTCTGTCTTTACTAAATATCTAAAAATGCTTGTTCTGCTCCTGAAGCACTTCAGCAAAGAGAGAATTTTAATGCTACGGCTCCCTTGGATGAGAAGGCAGGTCATATGTCATGAGAAGCCTCCTGGTTGTACAAGGGCTGGACTTTGAAACAGCTCAGAGAGGCAGAAATTAAACATGTCTTCCAATAAAGTTAAAAATAGTTTTCCTTGGCCTTGGCATAAGCCAAAGGAGCCAACTTCCTTTTTACAGTCTGTAATCTCTTTAATAGCTGCATCTCCACTCTTTGAACCCTAGAAACAGACATTAATTTGACCCATTTTTTTTCACTATCATTCCTAATAAAGCCCTAATTATAAGCTTAAATGATCAAAACTCACATTTTGTAGGTAATGACATGCTGCCTTCTGTGGGTTCAACATAGTTATCATCATCATTGTCCACTGGCACAATGTAGTTATCCTATGAAAAATGCAGGAAAAAAAGTCTCTCCGTTAAACCTCCAGCTTGTCATCAAACTGTCTGGATTGAAGCCCTGGCAGCAGTTTACAATAGTTGTCATTTCCCAGTGACTCCTATTTCAGCCATTTATCATCCTGTGTGGAAGGGAATCCCAAGGACTGCAAACCCTTTATGGAATTATTCCACTGGTGTGTGTAAGCCCTCTCTTCCCTCTTGTCCTGGAGTAGCCTTTGAGGTTACTCTGTCCCCACTGCCTGCAGCTTGTTATGCATGATCAGGAGCTATTCCATGGTCTAAAGAGCCTCCTTGATACTCAAAGCAGGCAGATATCCCCTAGGAATCAGTATGGTACTTTAGTAGTACAAAATTATTTGTACTACAAAGGCTAAGAAAGAGACCAGAGCATGGCACTGCTATAACATTTACACAGTTATAACAAATATATCTGTAAACTTTACCTCATCATCACTGCACTCCTTAGGCTTTGGTGGCACTTTTGGTTTTGCAGCAGGAGATGGCAATGGCATGGATGGCACACACGGTTTCTTTGGTCTGGACATGGCTGGACTGGGTGTACTTGGGAGAGGTTTGTTGATGGGAGGAAGCTTCTGGTGACTGGTGCGATTGTCTTAATTTGTTAGAAAACAACAAGTTTAGTAAAAATGACACATTAGTCTCTGCGCTTTCTACTACTGCTTGTGTAAAAGTCTTTGCTGTGGCTGCAGCACAGGTCAAACAGCAGACCTGAGCACAGCTGGACCTGATGTTGAGATCTGTGTGTAAGCAGGTCCTGTTTCATTGCTCAGGGCAGCAGCCTAGCCCTCTGTATCAGGTGCAGTGAGTGCCTGGACACCGAATGCTGTATGAACATCTGTTTAACTCCCTGGGGAAAAGGTGCTGGCTGGGTGGTGTAGTGCCTATGAGACATGAGAAAAACGACACCGGATGGGACAGGAACAAGAATTGTGCCAGGTTCTCTGGCGTGTCAAGTCCTTCCCTTTTCAAAGAACACACAGGTAAAAGGCTGATGAACTTCTATGAGTACACATGTGGTATTTTAACACGTAGATGAATATTCTACAACCAATAATAGTCTGGTATCATACAAAAATGAAAGCAGGCATCATGTCAATGTTTCTTTTCTCCATGTCTCAAATCTTCATCTTATTGAAGCTAACTTTCATTCACTTCAATGCAATGTATTAATGGTTGAAAAGAATCAAATTAGAAAGAAAAAATCCCTTTATACTGGACTGATGTAAACAAAATCTCAATCCTGTCCTGTTTTTCAGAATATTTATCATCCTTAGTACCAATTTTGGAGTGAATATTTGGACTACTGTTTTACTGCTTTGGGAATGATTGGAGAAACAAAGAAGTATAAAAAGGGACCTGGCTAGTCTTACCTGCCTCATCTTTAATAGTAATTGCTGCATCAATATATGTGGATTAATTTGGAGCCACAAGTTAATATTATCTCCCATACCTTTGCTTGAATTTTGTCATTAGTAGATGTCTATCAAAGTCTCTAGGACACATTATATTAAAATTATAAACATCACTACCAGCAATACTAACTTGTTTCATGCTGTAATAAAAAAAAAATCATACCCCTGAATGCTTAAGACCTGAGTATCAGAATTAGAAGCAAACTCTTGTGGAAAGACAGATTAGTGCATTTGGGGCATCTTCTCTTCTGGTACTGATCAAAAAGCAATGATCAAGGTGACATAGTTAACTATTCCATAACTACCTGCATATTCACCCCTAGAAATAGGGAATGCAGAGGGAATCTTCTTTTTCTCCTTCTCACTGGGAGGTGGCTCATAGCTGTCATCAGGATTCTCTTCACTGGGGACCACGTACATCTCAGAGTCAGAGTGGTCATCTGGATTTTCATAATCACTGTCCTAGAAAGACAGAACTCTCCATTTCTCATCTCATAGCAATCTATAACACAAAATTACAACTATGTACCCTTGAATGGACACATCATATTCCCTTTTAGTGCTTCCTCTTGCAAAGAGGCACTCCTGCCTCCTCCTCTTCTCCTCCTCCCAGGAGCTCCCTGTCTTCTTGCTGTCTCCAAGGAATCCTTTCATCTCAAGAGCCGACTCTTCAAATTATAGACCAATAGCTTGTTTCCTTTCCCAGGACAGCTCCTTTCTAGATCCAGCTTGATGGATCTTGGTGTGTTGTTACTTCCTCTCCCTTTCCAGTTAAAAGGGTACTCAAGGAAGAAGCTGGTCACTTCAGGCTGACAATTGCACCATTACTTACATGGCTGACAGCCATGAATTGCTTCATTCTATGTTTTCTAAAATCTTAGCAGAAGTTTTCATTTTTAGTAAGAAGTGACTTTCCTCTCCTCACCCCTTCCACTCTTCCTGCCCCAAATAAAATCTCTTACTGATTTCTAATTGATTGTTTTGGGAAGTCCCTCAAATTCATGCCACGTGCTTACTTATCCAAAAACCTTAGCATTTGTGGCTACCATTGACTGTGCTTCTGAAAGTACTTCTAAGTTAAATGTAAAAAAATTGAGGCTGCTCAAAATCAGTGGCTACTTATGAATTAAACTAATGTAAAAAACCCCGTAACATTTCAATAGTATTTGGTTCAACCACAACTGGATGATTTAAAAAGAAACATATATTACTATTTCATGTGCTAACTTGTTGCCACAGTAACCTCCTAGTAGCCCAAAATATGTACTTACAAAATCATCTGACCATTGTTCCTCTTCATTGTCTGTGTGTTCTAAACCAAACATTAGAGTTATTTAAGGAGATGTAATAGTGAATATAAATATTTTTCTTAGATTGGTTTTTCAATCTATTCTTATCATACTCAGTTAAAAAAGAGTGAGCAAAATTTCCAAACAGTTCTAAGCAAAACATCTGTTTAGAGAGAATAGTAAATTAAAAGCCTTCTTATTTTTGACAAATTATTTCATAACTGTTGGAAAAGCATTAGAAAATGACAAACTCTGGATGGTCTGAACAGCAGAGCATGCACTTTACCCACAGTGTCCTGCTAATGCATCTCATTTTTAAGTAGGCATCACAATTTCTAGATAATATAACTGTTTCTGACCTCTGGGCATTGGTTAAAGTTGGTTAAGTGTTTGTATTCAACAGGGAACAGTTACCTGGTAAGTTCCAAACTCTCTCTTGTTTATTTCTATTCTTATCTTAACAAGATGGCTGTTAACTTGTAAAAATAGCCAGGAACTAGTTTGTGGGCTGTATGATAAGCAAGTAAATTCAATTCCTTCCGTATTTACTTGCAGTTTCTGTAAGGAGGGGCTGCATGCAAATTCTCCTCCATTTTTACAGCAGCCTAGATACAGAACTCTGTCTGATTAAGACTGATTTTGAAAGAGTGGTTACTTGTTACTCTTCATGCTGGCACAATTAATTTTTTCTTGCCTTTCATTTCAGAGGTGTGAACTAGCTTCAGAGTTGTTGATAATGGTATCTTTTCTCTCATTAAAAACAAATTATGAGGCACTGTGTAACTGAAATATTGTTAGGCATATAGATAGCAAATTAACACAGACATGCAGTTTTAAATTTACATTAATACAGCCTTACCTGAAGCATAATCCCTTTTTGGCAGACTTGGCGGTGGCTTTTTTTTAAGGCTGTAAATTATAATTATTACATTTATGATCTCATAAGTAACATTTATTAGAAAGGAGCATTAGCCAGACACATAAAAAAGCTGATAACTAAAGATACCTGCAGCTAAAGAAATACAGATTACCATCACAGATGCTTAGCAACTAGCTGTAGAAGAATGCTTTCAAAAGGTAGAAACTGATAAAATAATTAAACAGAATCTGAGAATTTAATACATTTTTTTCACTAAGAACATATGTTGAAAGGACAGCTTCCTTGCTCACACCACATCTTCATTTCCAGAAAGAGAGAAGATAGGGGGCAGAAATAAATGATAATCAGTAGATGAAAATCTGTTCGGGTTCACAGAGACTTTATTAAGACTATGGCATAAGAGAGTGGTGTAGCACTCTCCATTTGTATTTTTAGAACTATATAATATTGCATGCACTTTATTTGACGGTTAATATTTAAATGTATACCGGGTCTCTCAGTGCAAGATTCTACTTTTTATTATTTTATGATGCTATGTCCCTTTTTTGGTAAAGACTGTTACGATGGCATTACATACCAAGTGAATCAAAAGATAATTTGTAGAAATACTGAAAGGATCTTTTTGTCAATACAGGTAGGTTCATAAGTATGTGCACACATATATATCTAGCAAGCAGAAGTACACATACATGTAAGAACACACATATATATTTATATTTATATGTATATGGGTATTAATGTATACTCCTCCTTACTAAATTGCAGCTGACCAAAGAAGACATTGAATTACAGTCAGTTGAATTATTTCACTACCCTGTAATGAAAGAGAAGAATTTGGGTTTAAAGTCAGGATGAACAGTGCACGTGTGACATTGCACGCCAGACTGATGCCTCTGCAGAGGGAAAAAAACAACCCTTTGTTTTTAGCAGCCAGATAAAACATTAAGATAATTAATGACGTTAAAATTATTCTTTAAAGTGACTTTTGAACATTGTCTGACAGCTCTGTTGTAGCACTGATGAGATCTCACCATGGACCCGAAGCTTTGTCTACTAAACTGATGACTTCACTCATTCTTCAGTTAGGTCCTAACAAATTCATTTGCAAAAATAAGCAAATAATTAAAAAAAACCCCAAAAAACAAAAAACACATCCCCAAAGAATTTAAAATGTTTTTTTTGGGATCTCTGAACAATAGTGTTTACAAATGTTGCTTTACTCCAAGAATTTGACAGTCAGGACTCAGGTCCTGAGCTGGCTGCCTAGGTAATCATTTTTCAGGTACTACTTTTACTCAGGGTGGTGGCATGCTGGCAATACCACATCAACTTACAAATTTTCCTGTCTGTTTTGAGAAATGCTTTGGCTACTTCTGCGTTGAATTAATGGAATTCTGTTGTTCAGACAGTCACCAAAAACACCTCATACATGAAGCAATGAATTAATTGTGCGGGCATTGCAAAAACTCAAAAAAGAACAACCCCCCAAGCCAAACAAAAACAAAACTAGGAAGATTATTTTTGCAATGTTAGCCTGCTTTTTTCATGGCTAACAACACTAATGATGGATAGCTGTCTCCTCAGAGGTTTTAACTTCCTGAAGCATAATATAACTTAGTGTACAAACAGTAAATTAAAAAGCATTCTCAACAGCTCTGCTCTGGTCTTCTGTCCAGGTTAGCACAGCCATGTTAGAAAGAAAATCCCAGGGCCACTGCCAGGGCTCATCTCACATCTTAGGAAGGGGAGACCAAGATCTCTTGGTGTATTTTGCAACACGTCTGCCATGAGTTGTTCGGAAATGGTGGAGACTTGGAAAATGGTGGAACTGAGGCAACTGTAAGAGGCTGTCTGGGTCATGGTGTAAAGTACATGGCTTAAGCAATACAACATATTTCTAAGCTGCTAAGAAGAAATCTTCCACACTTGGTACCAGGCCCTGTAAATCCTGGCAGTGGCCCTGGCAGAAAATGTAAATACGTTATAATGAAAGCACACAAGGTAAGAACAGAGGTCTGTGTCTAAGCAGCCTGTCGTGCCATGGTGCAGCTATGGAATAGCATACCGATCCCAAGTATCTTTCCCAGTTTTGCAAATTAAGGCCACTTGCTCATTTTGGAACCTGAATATCAATAGAAGAAAAGAAATAATGTTTCTGTCACAGAGCTGAAACAGTTCCCGCCCACATCTATATTTGCTAGAATCTTTTCAAATACGTTATTTATTCTAAAATTCAAATCCACTTAAAAAGAAATTTTCACAGTATTGGTATGATTTGCTGACTGCCAGAACTGGAATCCAGGCTCTTTTGAAGTCAGCTGCAGCTTCACTTCACAGGAGCCAGAACTCTACCCAATGTGCAAACCGCAACACAAGCTCTAAACACGCAACCCTACGCCAAGGCGTGGTTACCCAACTATTGCAGACTCTGACCTCATTGTCCACACAGATCCTTGCAGAATGGCAATTGTCTCTGTCCTGTTCCCTGAAGTTAATGAGAAGGGACTGGAAGAATCAAATGCCATCCAACTGACCGTGCATATTTAAATGTATTTAGTCCTAGTACATATATTAGAGCTTCAACAAATAACCAGGTGGCACTGGAGACATTTCATATAATGGGTTATGGAACAGAATGCAGGATAGAGAAATTCAGATCAACTTTTAAGATAATAAATTATTCAATTTTAAAGCAATGTATTCCAAGATTTCCCCTTATAATATGCTGAGTTTGATCCAACAAAACATTTAGGCATGTACTTAACATTTCTAGCATATTATCTAAGTAATATTACTTAGAATTTGCATCACATTTTTGTTTTCCTGCATTAAATGAAAATTTTTAAAATAAACTGCAGCAGAGGTTGGGATGTATTGCTCTAGCAGCACTTGTTTTTACAGGCTACACCCAGAAAAAGAACCAAACATACATATTAGTAGACTTTTACATGTAGCACTTAAATTTTCTCACAGGTGCATTTTCCTACTAGTGTTTCTGCTCACTCTCCCAGCATTTAAGATATGCCTGAAAACTCTTTGTTTTCAAAAGTTCTTTGCTTTTTGTATTGCTCAGTCTATGCAAAGTCCACTCCCTTGTTAGGAACCATTTTAACATAATAGTTTTTACAAAAATTCTATTGATATTTTTTCTGAGTTGAGTATTTACTAGAACATCACACTTGTGATTACACAATAAATTAATTGAACTTTGCCAGAAATATTTTCAGAGCTCCAAAAGGTGTGATGTGAACAGATCTGATTTCCTGAACTGTGTATTCCTAGTGGAATAGTTTGTTACACATTTGGAATTATGCAGAAATTGTACAAGATAAAATTAAAGAGAAAGGGATTTTTAAAAAAAATTGTTATTACTACTCTTTCACGCATGTTCTTACAACGTGCTATGGCAGTTATAGTAATAAAAATCCTGACACTCAAAACATTCTATTCAGCTACACAGTAATTTTCATGTTCTTCAGCATAACAGTTAAAATTAGGAATTATACTTTTTCCTGTTTTATTTTTCTAAGTGTGGTACAGTTTGATTTTGGTACTTTCTCTCACTGTTTGTTTAATAAAATACTGCTTTTCCCTCTGCCAAGGGTTTGATCATGAATGTCTTTTAGTTGTAGCTATGCAGGTTGAAGAGACACTTAGTGACACAGCTATTTTTCTGCCCAAAGTTAATGCCTAAATTATAAATGGTATAGAAAAATGGGCTACACAAATCTGAAGCAAAGACTTACCCAACTAAAAAGCTGGGTAAAGCATCTTTTTTCCATTTTCCAGGTCATATGGCAAATGTTCAAGAACTGGACACATTTGGTGAGTGTGCAGTCAGAAACACAAGTACAAGTGCATGACTTCTGATGGCTTTCTGAAGGATGTGATATTACAACAAGGAGAATAAACTGAACTTCTTGTTTCTTATCCAACACAGTAGGTCAGCATGTACAAAATTTTAGGTGAAGTCCTGACTTTGCTGTGCATGCAGTGTGACTTTTAATGCCAACTTCAGTGGAGCCAGGATTCCACTGAACAAAGCCTAAAGGCTTAAAGCTTATGATGTACAGATGAGTGCTGTCTTTACAGCGTGTTTCACTCATAGGCTACCATCCTACATCCTGCAGCCTGTGATTTCTCTGCTTCCTTGTTCTGTATTACCGAGGATGTGAATATGAAAAAAATGCCCCCAGCTCTCATTGTTTATCCAATGCTGGCTACACTCATTGCTGCTACACCTGAGTACATAATCCTTCTTGACACTGTGATCTGCACAGCAGCTGGGACTCAGGGCTGTAAACAGCTTTGCATGTGATTAAGGTCAAGCAGGTGACAGCTATCCTGCAGTGGCCAATATTTTTACTGCCAGAACAAACAGGAACTTTTAAGCAATGAAAAAACATTTCTATTTCTTTCCTGTTACCAGGACTGCTCGGCCTGCTTTCCACAGACCTTTAAGACACACATGGATTGTAGATGAATTCCTCCCCACTTGCACACCACAGACAAACTAGACTGGAAAGCAGAAGTCCTGATGCAAGACCTTTTACATTTCTGCATAACCAAGTGCCAATCCACTTTAGAAGTGTTTTAACAAATACTGCTGATAAGTCTAATTAATTTCACGAATATTTGGTTATTCTTTCAATTTGTATAGCAGAGGCTTACAGCATACATTTGGGTGATACCTTTAGGCTTCAGATATGCAAGTACATTATTTGAATTCTCTAAAATTATTTCTACTTATAAAAGGTTTGATTTTTATTTTCTTTTCCAGCATATGGGTGAATCTATGCTACACAAAGCCCATTTAAAATAAAATCTTTCCTGCTTCAGTTATGTTTAGAACCTTGACATTTAATAAAATAATCCCTTAACTGAAATGGAAGAAGTGATCATCTGGATAACTGTGTTTTAGAGAAAGCATCTACAGTCAAACAAAAAGCCCCCAAAGACTGCATAGTGAGGAACACAGCCAGCTCTAATTCTGTAAAGCTTAGCAGCTCTTGTACATATCCTGATCAATGTTGTGAACGCGTGCTTTTATTGCAAGTCTCATTATGTGCTGTGTTCAAGACTTGAACTCTGAAGTTATGTGCAAATATTAGATATTCTTCAATTTTTAGAAACTAAATTTCTGATCTCCATAACTGCAGAAAAGATTATTATTACTCAGACAAATCATAGTAACATCTGAAATATTATTATGCTTTTATACCTCTGTTTGTGTTCTTATAACTGGGAGAGTTGACATGTGACCTTTGTGCTGCAATCATACTTTGAGTTTTTATGAGTTTGCTCTTATATATATATATATATATATATATTTTTAATCTTGAGTGAATCAAAGAATTACAGTTCTATAGCAGCAATATTTGACACTTAATGATGACCTTCTGAGCTTCTGCTACATTTGGTTCATGTTACTTCCCTTCTTACTCTTTAGGCAGGACACACAATCAGAGCAACTGATTCACAACAGAAATCATTGCTGCTATGGGAGACACTTTGTAGCCTCGAATGATAAACTTAGGTGCTTCTGTTGTTTCTGTCATCTTTCCTTTCTGAGGCTTTTGAACTGAGTCCATTGGAACATTATTAATTACAGTTAAACAACTATTGTGAAGTGGGAAGCCACCCTTTATTAAAAAGCAACAACTATAAGAAAATCTCTAACCCACTCCCCGCCAAACCCCCACCAAAAGCCTTGGATAGCCTAGCAGCTCTTCCCTGTGAGCAGGTCCCAGGTGAAAATGAGATTTTGTAGATGGGTGGTGAACACAGTGGTCACTGTGTTAAAAACAAAACCACAAATTAACTTAAAACCAGAAGTAGTTAAAAGAGGGCCATTCTATGGGAAACTCTCCTTTTGTGCTTGCATGGAAATAAGCGAGCATAGCAAGTGACTATGATAAACTGTGAACTGCAGCAATCTTAGAGTGAAAGAGAATGAGTAAAGGAAAAAAATTATCTCAAAAATCTGATAGATCAGATGTTTTACCATCAGAACTTGCTCAAGGTCTGTGGGCAGAAACACAGCTGTGGAAATGAGAGCACAAAGGAGGGCTTGCAGGCCAGGATTACTCGTCCTGCCTGGGGAACAGGAGAGCTGGGCAGTCCTGCTGCTCCTGGGAGTGTGTCCCCCTACTCTGGCAGCTCTCCAGAGCCCTGCATAGCCAAACCAGGCAGGGCCCTACTGCTGCTGCCAGCAGCTGACTGATCACTTCAGATACACCGAGCTGTTTCCCCTGAACTGAGCCATCATGGTCCCTCTTTAAAAGCAATTTAAAACAATGCTTCCACGTGTCTTTTATGTACAAGAGCTGTACTTGTAGAATTTAAGATGGTTGTCCTGGAAACAAGTACTTTTGTTGCCAATGACCCTAGTAAAGGAACATATCTGAATGAGAAAATCGCATCCAAATGGAATTTCAATGCAAATGAGCTGTTGCATTAAGAAAAGTGTGCTAAATAGCTAATTGCTTTAAATAGATGTTTGTCTGGAAACACTGAATAATGTATTCATTTGACAAGGATGCAAAATTACTGGAATTTCTATGTATAAATACATATGAATATTTTATAATACTTTCATGCACGTGACACAATCTGCATGTTGTTCAGCATATCTTATTAGAATAAGGGTGCTAGGTAATGCTGGATTTTGTTTTATGAGACTGAAACACATGAGGATTTAGCATTTTTATGGGAATTTTAAGTATGATGTCTGACCAGTTGATCCAAGGTGGAGCTCAAATTCAACTTAACTGCAGCAGGAAGCCTGAACAGTTGCCTAAGGAGAAAGGCACACATGCAAGACAACAAGCAATGACCATTTCCAGCAAATATTCCAAAAAAAGGGTCTTCACTCAAATACTGGTTTTTTCAAGGCTACAAACACAACCTATCATTGGGCTCCAGTTCTGCAACTCCTTTATTATAATCTTAATACTGATGACAATTCTGCAGGTTTCAGTGTGAACAGAAGCTCTTTCCCTGCACTGCAGTGCATCCCTCTGGAATGACATGGTCCCATTACTAAAGTACCACACAACACTATGCTCATAATCCAAACTTCCCCACATTGATAAAACTAGGGAATGGCATTGCAAACTTACTTTTTGAACTTGTTTATTATCCCACTTTCATTTTTCTTGATGTCATGCACCATCTTCTGAAGCTTCCTGTAAGATATTAAACAAAGCCAGCATTAAATTACCAAGTGGTTGAACATCAATATAAATCAAGAAAAATATGCTCACTATATCTCCAATAAGTAGTTTAATTGTTAAATCATTTGTGCATGAAGTTTCCCTTCCTTTTAAAGACCTCTTTAGTATTATTTATGTTATCCTTCTAAATACAATTAAATATGGTATAAACAATCAATTTAAGAGTAAGTGCATCAGGAAAAAAAATCTTTGCCTAAATTAATAGTTTAGAATATTTAAATGTTAACATTTTATCTAGAACTGACTTTATAACACTACAAGGCTATAATGGTGACGCCCTCTGAATTCTGGCCATACATGGGACATGTAAATATAATGAGAATAATGGACAAATAATTCACAAGCACATCTTTAACTCCTGCTGAAAACTCAAGCTACTAATTTACAGCAAAATGATATAGTGTTACCTGCTAATATAAAGAAATGAATTACATATAGTTGTGAGAAACAGGTGTATATGTTTCTCACAAGTGTATGAATGCTCAAAAAATTCCAACAACAATGTACTACACCTATAGGACCAGTTTGAATCATTATCTAAACTAAACAGATGCATTAAATATGAGGTGAAAAGCTCAGAAGAACTTCTGCTTTTCTGTTGCATTTTTTGGGTTTTTTTTCTTAACAGATTCAGCTTCTGGTTCTGCTTGAAACATCAGAAATAGCCATCATCTGCAGTTTGCTGTTTCTGTGCTGTGCCCCAGCTGGCACCTGGCAGTGTCTATAAATGAAAAGTAATGAGGAATGAAAAGAATGAGAGGATATCTAAATGGTTTAGTTCTAGTTTGGGGAGAACGGTTATAAGTGTTTATGTTTCTTTCAGAAAGGCTTGCCAGACTTCAATTAGGGATGAACATCAGCATCAGTTACATTTCTTTTGTTGCTTGTCAGAGATAGAACTCACCAACAAAAATCTAATTGTAGATTTCTATCTGAATATTGCTTATTGCTCATCACTGACACTAATATCTTTATATTAGCAAAATTATTATTTTTAAAAAGTGGGCTTTTTTTCACGTTACTGTTTTTATTCTATATTGTCATTTATTTGCTAAAAAATCTTCACACACACATGCAAATAAGATCCAACACAAAATTGATAACTACAAGTACCTGAACTAGTTTGCTTTTCATTTGATCATATTTAGGTGATTTGATTAGAACACCACAGATGTTTCCTGAGTCTTGAATGAGGCTATAGTTTAAAAAATAACTTTATTACATATTTCTATTTAAAAACAGTGAATTTAAATTAGGAAATCACAGGCACTGGTGCTGTTATGATATTTTTCCAAGCAGATGAGCTGAAATGAAAACATTCCCATTTTTTTCATTGTCAAATTTCTTAAACATCTGTGTCTCTTATTCCTTATTCTTTTTATGGAGACATTTAGATTTCTAATTACAACTTTGATAAATTAGAGAGGTACCTAATATGCATCAGTGTGAATTTCTTCACCTTTTAAAGTAACACAGCTCTTGTAGGCGTTTAAAATACTTGTTTGTTACCCCTGGAGAATTCAACTAGTCTGAAGCCTGTGAGAGTAAGCAGATAACCATTGCACTAAGTGGGAAGTGTAGGAAGTCATCAAGCACAGCTGATCTCCTGTTCAAGTGGAATCCCCTTCCACCCATGGAGTTGCATGAGCTGCAAAAACCAGTCTGTCCAGTTAGCTGGAGGCTGAAATTTCTTTAAGTGCCAGGCCATATGAAAGGCAACAACTGAAAAGTTTTAGAAAGAACTGTCTGTCTTATTTGTGAAGTTAGAGAGACAGAAGAAAAGATAAGAGGCAGATAAAAAGGTCTATGGCAAGAGGATTCCCCAAATCTTAAAGCACTCAATCCCAGCCCCAAAGGCCATTCCAGAGCAACGAGGACAGTGAAGCACAGAAGGGCATTTATACACATAAAGTTTTGACAGAATCTGTGTATCTGACTAGTACTAAAATACTTGTATGGCTCTCAAATACTTGAGATGGTACTCTGAGTAAAGGGGTTTGTTGAGAGGGGACCTTAGCAGGGCAGCAGCCCTGAGAGCACCCAGGAAATGGGGGCTCCCATGGCCCAGTGCAGGCAGCCCTTGTGTCACGTACAGAACTACAACCACTTTCTTCACAACACTCTGAGTCAGGACCTCGTCACCAGTTAATGTTTACTCTCTAGTGTTCTCCTGGGATGAGAGATACTAGAAATACTCAAGGACCTCCATCAGCTAGTACTGTAAATAAAAACAATGAGTAATGTTTGTCTTACTTTGCATTGCATATAATTGAAGATAATCAAGAGGTAAAACTTAAAGTTGCTTCTTTAACTACAAGCTCCAACTCTTCATTAAACCTGCTTGGGATCTTTTTATGCAAAATCAGGTTTGCAGATAAAGGTGCAATCTGTGTTGCTGCTAATCTTTGAAAATGCATTTCAGCAATAGATATTTTGAGATCCATTTTAATTGTAATTTGTATGGACTGGATGGTAGCCTTTGATCAGGATCTCACGGCACACAATAAATTTTCAAAGTTCTGCAGATAATAAGTTTGGAAGTCTTGGCTGTAGGTGCTTCCAAAAAGTTTTAGGTTTCTTACAAATACATTAGAAATTCTACATGTTGGAAGGAGTAAGAAAAAGAGACAGAAACCTAAAACAAAACACATTTTAGCTCCATGTTGCTATTTTTGTAGCTAAAGACTCCAGTAATTCAGAACTATCAGATTTATTTACAAAGGGGTCAGTAGCTGTGATACCTATGTAAAGGAAGGTGGAAAGTTTTACCATTGTAAATACCATACATCCTGAAAGAAGGATTTGTTGTGTGACAAAATACCTTGTTGCACTCAAGGGCTGGTGGAACTGCCTCAACACAAAACAAAATGAAACAAGCCGACCCTCTCTTTGATCTGGTCACAGCCCAGCTTATGAGGAATATGTAATGATGAAGTGAGGATGATGGGTAGGTCTGGCCTCTGACACATCCCCACCTTCAAACATCACCTGGAAGCCTTTGGCTATTTTGCATGCACACTATCCTACAAAAGCTTTCCAAAGGCAAAATAGTTTTTAAAAAGAAAAATGAAGAAGAATAAAGTGTGTAGCAAGTTTTCAACTCAGATGTGTGATGAGGTACAGAGTTCCTAGACTTGTGAAAGAAAAGTACATCTTAATTTCAGACAGATTAGTGTAATATGGAATTCTGCCACCATTTAGACTAGTTTTTGAGAAATTGTACTTATGGGTATTATAAATCTGTGAAGACATTTACCAGTATGTGTGCTGTAGGTATGTGTATTAAGGCTCACAGCAGTCAGCATGAGCGGCTCCCCTGTGGTCATGACCTGTCCCTGCTCCTGCACACAGGGAGGGTCCCCAGGTGCATGAGCAGCACAGCTCACCCACCTGTGACCTTTACCTGTAATGCTGTCTCGGTGAGCCCAGAGCTTTGCAGGGCACACGCTGGCTGGCAGTGTTTTACTGTGCTGGGTCCTGGGGAGCCACAGCCCACTGCAGGAGGATTCTGAAGGGTCTCCGAGTGGGCAGGGGACACAATTGCTTCATGGTGTCTGCTGTGAGCACTTGTAGCTGAGAGGGGTCCTCCCAATGTTTTTGGGACCAGGGCTGACAGCAGCATCAGTGAGGAGTGGTAGAAAAACAAAAACTAATTTTAATTTATTTACAGGAAATTTTCTGTTATTACAAGCATACCTAGTTCTGTTTATCTGGGGCATGAAAATTATACCTTCTTACATTTCTGGTGTTTACAGGACTGTCTGAATTACCTGTTTTGCCTCTTGAAAAATCCCCATCAGTATTTACAAACCAGCTTCTTTAGTTAAAGAAGAGCAGAATTTTGCACATGATATGTTGACAAGTTGGCTAGGGCAACTTTACAAACAATATTGACACATTCAACATTAAGGGGCCTGTATGTTCCTTATCCTCCTCCTCGCATCAGTTAGGTCTTTAACTGATGAAATATAATTGGTTTTAAAATAGTAAAAATAATTTTTAAAATAAACACACTGTAAATCAGACAATTTCCATGCCAATTGCATGTTCTTGGACATTTTTGGGTATATCTGCTTTTCACTGACAGGACAGCCTGTAGTTCTGTGCGTAGAAAGTCACAGTTTCTGAAGATTACTATGTCCATTCACTTTAAGTAAGACTGAGGGTAGGTGTACTACTCACTTTTGGCTTAAGAAAGGCAGATTACATTAAAACAAAAAAATGTTTTTCAGAGTTTTTGTTTGTTTGTTTGGGTTCTTTTCCAGGCAAATTTAAATACTTGGCATCGGAAACCTAGAATGGGATTTAGTGAGTGCAAATTTAGACTTAAAACAAAAAATCTCCAAAAATACCCAATTGCCTCAGCTATAAGGTTTTACAGGAAAGAACCACAAATATAAAGCAAGGAAGATTATAATGAAATTTGGAGAATATAAGCTAAGTTATTAGAAGATACAAACCAAAACTCAAAGAGGAGAAATCTAAAAATTATTACAGCTACTTCTGTTAATTAAAAAAAACCCACATTAAAACATGAAACTAAAGAAAGAAAAGCATGTCCAGACCTCTCCTTTATGGCTTCTCACAGCACCACCACCTTCTTCCCAGCTGATCTTTGTGTTTCTATTATCCTTCAGTTTTATAAATAGCTATGCAGGTGACCAAATTAAGAAAGAAACTTATTGTTTCTGAACAAAGGGAAGACTCCCGCTTCCTTTTGGGGGGAGAACCTGCTTACCTAGAAGGGGATTTGTAAAACTACCACTTGAGATTTTGAAAAGCATGAAGCTTTTCAAACTGAATTAACAAACTAGAAAAGGACCACCTTTCCTATGCCAGGCTTCCATGAAAGCAATGTTTCTGCCATGGTCTTTGTGGAAGAACATGGATTTTGGTGAACTGTGTGTCTTCCTAAGATGTATACTTGTCACTTTTGTGCCTCAAAGACAATG